CTTCATTTCTACATACTTGAACAACACTTCTGGTTGCTTAGCAACGATAATTGTGTATATTTGTTAACTTAATGAGACCAAAGTGTATTTAATATATGTTTTAAATAAATTGTGAGTACGTGTCTCAAATATATTTGTGCATTATATCATATCGTGTTTCAATTGTGTTTGTATTTGAGCATCAAATATACACATTAATATGTGTTTAGATATGGGTGTGTAAAGTGATACTGATTGAGCATACTCAAAATGATGGACTGATTGTGGATTATGGATAGTTGTAGTTGTAACGAGTTAGTTAGCTTTGAAATACGATGATGATTATGATCTAATTGTTCAAATTTGAAGAGAATGTGAAGGAAGACTTCCCTCTGTTTGACACTTCACGCGTAGTGTTGTATACTTCAGTTGATTGTAGCATCGTACGCCTTCTTGTACGCTGATTACATTTCAACTCTGAATAAACAGACTATCATGCCTTTTCTTATATTGTTAATAATTACATGAGCTCCTTAGGGAATTTAGGTCTGAAATTGCAGAACTCCATTCTACACGGTTTTCTGCAGTTACATTCAACTGGCTCTTCTAGTATCATTCACTTTAGGCCTCCCTCAGACGAACACCCAACTCATTAAATAATAGTAATAATAGCAATGTTTGCATAATGTAAAGAATTTTCGGCGGAGTTGAATGCATTATAATTTCCCTTCGTCATCCAGGATCATCAAATATAACAATGATTAGCAGTGGATCGTCTGATACAGTCCTCCATGACCTGAATCACAAACCAATTAATCACAATGATATCTCTTCCTTTTCTCTTTCGATAAACATATAACATTTGGTTGAACGCCAATTGTGAAGAGTTCAAGAGGACATTTCACGAACCAAGGACATTACTCAGGAATTGACATCTCATGTAGGGGATAAACTGCCATCGGGGATAACGCTTCTCTTAATGTTCATCGGAAACATGCAAATTAGCAGGTTGTAAATGTTTCCTTAAATACTAGCCAAACTAAACAATACTGTAAGAGGTCATTTTTTTTACTAAATTCAAACAAACTGTAAATGAGGGGAAGTATATGGAATACATTATTGATGGAGGTTTCCGGTTGCTCAATTTTTAAGCAGGCCACCAAAACACCTGTCCAGTACTCCCTGATGGCCGTCAATGCTGGCTGTTTAACTGATATCAATCTGTGTTCAACCTTGAAATAAGAAAGCATCATTTTGGAGAATCACTGACGAAATCCTTACTGAAATGAATTCAAACTCTCTATAAAGTCTAATTATTTCTTCTCTTTGGACATATTATTAGTGTTATTATTTCTCTAGAGGTCGATAAAATACAAGATGGTGGAATTTAAATTGGTGTGCATAAAAAATTAACAAATCTCAGTTGGACAGTAAACCATATTAATTACCACATAACCTTGCAAGAAACAAAGAAAAAAAGAACACAAGATTATGAAATTCTTTTACATTATAAATCCTGTTTTAACTAACAAAAACTTGTAAGATAAACTGAAAAGTTAGAAATGTAAAATCTTAAAAAAGAAGAGAATATCTCCATTTTGTCTTGTTCTCTGCTCTTCTCTTCAGCTGGCCACACGATTGTCCATAGTCTTTTATCTCCTTCTCATATGATCGCCTCCACATATCGTTTTTCAGAGGTACACCCAAATCAGTGTTTCCCATTCAGGTACCATTTAAGCGATGGCCTGCTAATCGGACGATGTCATCCGGTAGTCTCCTCAACCTGTGTCCAATCCATCCCGATTCTCTTCGGAATATTTTTTGATCAGCAGGTTTTTGATTTGTTCATTTCAAGAGTTTCTTGTGTCGGTGGCAAAGCGGTTAAGTCTGACTTGTCTTTTCCATTCTGCTTTGATCCCCGCTGTTACCTTTAGTTGAGACAATTCTTTCATGGATGAATGAATGAATGAAGTAACTGTTATGTACTAGTTTTCCCCGTCGCCAAATTGTTATGTACTCGTCGCTAAATTATTGTTATGGACTGGTCGAGAAACTAATAGTACTGACGCAAGAAGGCGGAAATCAGAAGACCACTAGGTTTGTGATGATACTTCTATTGTCCAAACACAAGGAGAAATGAAAAAGTGGTATCACACCAAAAGAAGAGTCAGACAAGATTGTGAGAGCGAAATATATATGAATGTCCAGACAAGTGTATGAACAAATCAATAGACAGTCTTAACATGATTGGCTAATTATAATGGAGTATCGATCCATATACATAGCAAAATATAGCAGACATGTTAACAACCACACAATAGGATATATGTCACCAAGCAACGGACTGTCAACAAACACTCATATTATATATAATATAATATAAGGAGAATACACATTATTAAAGGAGACAGGTCCATACAAGTGAAGTGGTCACAGACTAACCGAGCAAACAGAAAGAGAGACCAACATGCACACACACACACATAAATATATATATGTGGATACATATCAGTAACCTCTTTCAAATTCCTCCTCCTCGAACTCCTGTCTCCATTAACTGCTACTTCAGGTAGTTTGTTGGCTCTCGCCTGTAAGTCATAGAGTTTGTGTGACGTTGAACATAAATCATCCAACTCGAAATCTAGATCTTCTAGTTTCTTCTCGTCAGTCTAGTGTAGCCCTTCCTACCATCTCCCCAGCACAATCTTCCACATAATCTAGTGCACCACAGTTATGAATATAATCGGTGATAATAGATAACCATGTCTAACTCCTGTTGACTTCAAAGACTTCGCTGAGTTTTCCATTGTAAGTCACCTGACATATATATATATATATATAAGTGGTTAAATCAAGGAAATTAGTCGAACCTCTACAACCATCATGGACCTCGTTCGCTATGTTCCCTTATCTTGCATTTTTTTCTTTCGTTCTCTTTTTTCTCTTTGATCTTCTTTCGTTCGCTGTGTGTGTGTGATTCTTACTCCCTCAGTCTTCATTCCATTCACCCCATTTTTTCAGTGATATAAACAGTTATTTTAAGTTTATTTCGACGCATTTTTCTTGTTCACATTTATAATTGGTTTAAAATTAACTATTTTACAATTATATCCTATTCCTGTGCAATTTTTGTGTTTCTAAGACTCTTGTAATCTCTATTCACACCTTCAAACTCCCATCTCAAGTTGAAAATTAATTATTTCAATTTTGTTTCAATGCTCATTTTTTACACACTTGTCATCCGTTCTAATCCTGTGTAATTTTTGTTCCTAAGCCTTTCCTCGTAAACCAGATCTAGTTGAAAATAATTATCACCTCTCATTTGCCGTCGTAATTATGTGGAATCAAACAAGAATTGCATCCATGTAAAATTATGTATTTAAATGTGATTGCACAGCTTTCGAAAATGAAATCGCCGAAAAGATCGTCATCTTTGCTGAACTTCGTCATCTCGTCTTTCTAATGTCCATATGGGTGTTTTTTTCACGGTCTGAAATCATTAACTGTTGAAAAGACTGACGATTTATCGTCAAATAAACAGTGGGTTGTCGGGGGTGGGGGGGGCGAGAGGAGCAGAAGTCAGCGCTTTCAGAGAAGCTACACGTTTACCTACATTCATTCTTTTGAACTGACCTATGGAGAACAGATTTTCCATGCACTACATCCACTATCTGAAGGCTAATTATACTGCCCCAGTTTTCGAATCAGATGGAATGAGAATCGAATTAGGCACCTGATATGTATCCATATATATATATATATATATATATATATATATATATATGGTGGTCTCTCTTTCTGTTGCTCGCTTAGTCTGTGACCATTTCACTTTGATGAACCTGTCTCCTTTAACAATGTATATTCCCCTTATATTATATATAATATGAGTGTTTGTTGACAGTCCGTTGCTTGGTGACATATATCCATATTATGTGTGGTTGTAGACATGTCTGCTATATTTTGCTATGTATATATGGATCGATACTCCATTATAATTAGCCAATCATGTTAAGACTGTCTATTGATTTGTTCATACACTTGTCTGGACATTCATATATATTTCGCTCTCACAATCTTGTGTGACTCTTCTTTTGGTGTGATATCACTTTTGCATTTCTCCTTGTGTTTGGAAAATAGAAGTATCATCGCAAACCTAGTGGTCTTCTGATTTCCGCCTTCTTGCGTCAGGACTATTAAATTCTCGACCAGTACATAACAATAATTTGGCGACGAGTACATAACAGCACCTCTGGTCGGCTGTAATTTGAGTGGCTAAGCCAATGAACACCGTCTCCCCGTAATCAGTATAAATAAAAAATATTCATGAATTTGTAACTAATAAATAAAATATTATTGAAAAAACACTTGTTCAATCTTATTATACTTGATTTTAATAAAAAAAATACTTTACACTCGGAAATTGAGTGAACTGAACGATATTTCCATGAAAATTACATAAAATTTTGAAACAAAGCAGAAAAATATGGAAGGATGCATAACGTCATAAAAGTTTCAAGTTTGTGAATGTGTGCAGACTTTAGTTGAAGAATCATTGAAAACCAGCCATAGGGAGTACTCGACAGTACTGATTTGTCTTTATTTGAGACTCTTCATCAGTAGGCACCCCGAACGAGGATTAAACACCTATCAAGTACTAATTGCGAGTTTTCAGTTGTACTCTAAGTGAATTCGATCTTTGATCAATTTTGTAACCAGTAGAATCCCTGTAAATGAACACCTGAAGAGTAATAGAAGTGACATACCGCTTTTTTGTGCATATAACAACCAATTGCAACGCCATTTAGATAGCTGCTTACTTTTGTATACTTACATGGGTTTTTACATGGAACAAAAGATTATCCAGTGCACTGACGAGCAACAAAAACAGGAGCTGAATGCAAGCTACAATACACTGAACAAAAGAGTGAAGAAGAGTGCCAGGGAAGACAAAAGAAAATATTATGAAACCATGGAAAACGAAGCAGAACAAGCTGCAGGCAAAGGAGACCTCGCCACACTCTACCAAACAACTAGGAACCTTTCGGGCAAAAGTTCGACACAGATTAAGCCAATAAAGGACGACAATGGAAAGTCAATCACCAAAGAGGTGGAACAGAGAAAGCACTGGGCTGAACACTTCAAAAGACTTCTAAATCGTCCGCCACCTACAACGCGCCCAACAATACCAACAACGGAAGCAGAACTACCAGTGAACACTGACCCCCCGACGAAATCAGAAGTCCTGAATGCAATCAAGATGCTAAAAGCTGGGAAAGCACCAGGACCAGATGGAATCCCAGCAGAAGCTTTGAAAATAGACCCAGAGACAACAGCGGACTTGATGACGCCACTGCTGGAGAAGGTGTGGAAAGAGGGCAAAGTACCCGAGGATTGGAAGAACGGATACTTATTCAAACTACCAAAGAAAGGAGACTTAAGTCAATGTAAAAACTGGCGTGGAATTATGCTTCTGTCCATTCCAAGCAAGATACTAAGTCGCATCATCCTGGAGAGAATCAAACAAGCCCTAGATGAAAAACTTCGTCCGGAACAGGCCGGATTCAGGAGAAACAAATCATGTATTGATCAAATCGCCACTCTACGGATCATCATTGAACAAAGCTTGGAATGGCAGTCACCTCTCTATCTCAACTTCATCGACTTTGAAAAGGCCTTCGACAGCGTCGATCGAGAGGTCATTTGGAAACTACTTCGCTACTACGGGGTCCCATCGACAATTATACATCTCATCCAACAGTTATACGACAATGCTGCATGCCAAGTAATCCACAACGGGAAACTTACGGAAGCCTTCGAAGTGAGGACGGGAGTGAGGCAAGGCTGTCTACTATCACCAATGATCTTCCTGATTGCAATTGATTGGATAATGCGACAGACAACGGCAACCAACGAGGGAACAGGCATAAAATGGACTGACACAAAAGACTTGGAGGATCTGGATTTCGCCGATGATATATGTCTGATTTCCCACAAACTGGAAGATATGCAAGTGAAAAGCAACAAGTTGGCAGAAGAAGCATCAAAGATAGGACTTCAAGTGAACATAGATAAAACAGAGGTGATGAAGATTCCTAGCCAACATCAACAACAACAACAGACAACAATCAGCATAAATGGGAAGAACCTGAAAGAAACAACCTCCTTCACCTACCTGGGAAGCATCGTCTCAACTACAGGCGGAACTGACGAGGATATCAAAGCCAGAATCGGAAAAGCAAGACAAGCTTTCATTACTCTCAAATCTGTGTGGAGGTCAACAGCACTCAGCATCAAAAATAAGATCCGGATTTTCAACTCCAATGTGAAGTCAGTGCTACTATACGGATCAGAGACTTGGCGAGTCATAAAGAGCATCTCAAACAAACTTCAGACCTTCATTAACAGCTGTCTTCGCTCAATACTCAAGATCAGATGGCCAGAAAAGATCAGCAACAGGGATCTCTGGGAGCGAACCAACCAGGAACCGATTGTGAAACAAATAGGCAGGAAGAAATGGAGATGGATTGGCCATACGCTGAGGAAACCATCAAGTGACATCACTAGACAAGCCCTCGAGTGGAACCCGAAAGGGAGGCGGCGAGTTGGTCGTCCAAGGGTGACTTGGAGGAGGTCATGCGAGGAGGAGATGAAAGCATGTGGACAGACCTGGAGCAGGGTGAAAAAGTTGTCAGAAAACCGAAGGCAATGGAGGTGCGCAGCTGAAGCCCTATGTTCCTCTAGGAACTAAAGGATACAATAATAATAATACATGGGTTTAGTTGTATCTATTTAATCACCACCTCATGTTACCTACAACTGCGTCTACCAATTTACCTGTACTTGCCAAAGCACATACATTGGAAGAACAGGAGAAGGGTTAGTGTCCGCAGTTATGAACACATACCAAAGAACCTGAAACTGAAAGGTCCGCAAGCATTAAACAGTGCGATTGCTCGTCATCTATTGGACACTGGTCATATTGTGGGCAACCTGAAGTTGTTCAGAATATAATCAACAAGCAAAAGAAACCACTTAGCTTGCTACACTTTGCTGAAGCGATTGCTATCAAACGACTTAAACCAAATCTATGTATACAGAAAGAGACAGTGATGAATCTTGCACTGCCCTGGTGATAACAAAGAAAATATAAATACAACTTTCATGAGTCACATTTTTCAGGTTTAAAAAACTCTACTCTGTCATCTAAACATGACTCACCCTACCTTGTTTCTTTTCTTTCCTTTTTTATATTGGCTATTAATAAGACGTTTCTTTAGTTACGCAATCTACATTTTTGTTATGCTCTTTCTAGCTAAACCTTGTTTCTATACACACATATATATACGCTACTCTGTTTTTTTTGTTTCCAAGCCTAACTGTCTAATTTCATTCTATAAATAGTCAGTGTTTGTAACTCTCAATCAGTTAAATCATTCCGGACTAATGTTACTTTTAATTCCTATGAATTACTCCTTATGATCGTGGAAAAGTATGTTCATATCTTTATGTAATTTATATTTTTATCGTTCAGGTTGTAACCAGTTGAGAAGAATCCTGGAAATAATAAAAGATGAGCTCATATTATCCTGGTACAATTGTTGTTCTTGCTTTGTTAAAGAATGTTTCAGAAAAACGGAATAGGATGTAAAAGTCGACAGTGTAAGGTGTTCTGGCTTTCTCTTGTTCGATGACATTTCAGTGGAACATACCGCTTCAATCTTCAACCCTATGAATTTTCACTAAGTGTGACGTTGTTTCTACAGGATGGGGTTGTCAGCCTAGGACTAATCTTTCTCCTTATCAGGCTTAAAATTAGTTTTTAAACTAGCAAGGTTTTAGCAGTGCATGTCGTCAAGGAATTAAACCCAAGTCAGCACTCACTGTGCCGACGCAGCATGATATATAGCCAAGTTAAATTTTTATGCACCAACTACCACCAATGAAGTGTGTCCGCGCCAGTGACCTTGAATGAGCCAATTAGTTTCTTCACGTAAAATGAAGCTGCTATTCAGCTCGACTGAAGTCGAATGTCTGCTCTAAAGCAGTTCCATCTGTTATTAGGTGAAGACCAAGTTTTCCAGGATTGCTTAGATGTGGCGTTGATTAGAAAAGAAACGATTTATTCATGTGGAGATGTGATGACCATAAAAAGCTTCAACAGATTGATTGATGGATATGTGCATCGTTGTGGATTTTGTTTGAGACGAGTTGGTGTCAGGGAAGGTAACCTGATGATTCCAATATTTCTTAGGAACATCTTTTGCCACGTCCCATTTGTCTTTAACCCAGATTTTGTATGTTTGTAACTACTGGATTTTAAAACAGCCTGTGAGACGTGCATCTGCTGAAAGTGAAAACAGTCTCATTTAAACACATCAGTGGTACCAGCTTTGCAGAGATATTGCGTCATAGAAAATTTAGCTTACTTCACTATTAGGAGAGGGAGAAGGTGTCATCGTACACGTAGGTGAAACTGTCTTATTTAAGAAAAAATATGATCGTGTTTGTGAACGAGCAAAGAATGCTTGGATGATTAGTTTACATGACACCTCTCTACAGAGGAGATTCGCCAAGACAGAATGTCAACTGCCTTGTGAAACAGGGATCTATAATACACACAGATAAGTGGAAAGGTTATAACTCTCTGTCATCCCTTGGATATACTCACCACAGAGTGAATCATTCTAATGAATTTTTGGATCCCATTGCAGGGACACATACACCAATTCTATAGAAGACTTTTGGGGAAGGTTCGGGATGTGGTGTAAATTTTCTGTTGATACTCCTATGCTAAACTGGGAGTCAGTTTTATCACATTTTTGAGAAAAATATCCTCCGTACCAATCTTACACAATTTATATATAAATATATATATAATATTAGATGATTAGAGGTAATCGACAGGAAGCCTTGGACGTAGGTTTCGTGCTAGTTGGCACTCACCAGTCAGCAGGGCGTATCTGCAACCTTGAAGGAACTCATGTTTCTTCTGAGATTCGAACCCGAGTCTCCCATTGCTGCAGTCAGACTAGTGCGCAATCAAAAATATCCAATACAGTCCTACAGGAAGTCAGTAGCGTACATGAGTAGCTCAGTGGTAACGTCTCTGATTTCAGCACTGGGTGACGTGGGTTCGAATCTCAGAAGGGACATGAGTTTCTTCAAGGTTGCAGATACGCCTTGCTGACCAGTGAGTGCCAACTAGCACGAAACCTAGGTCCAAGACTTATTGCCAATTACCTCCAGCCATCTAATATCATCAAATCCAGTGTGCACCGTGATGACGACCTACCTAGAATGGTGGCTACACTATAACCTGACTGAAAGAATTCAGTCTGCACCAAAGAGATGACTAGACACCCAAAAATAGCCTGTGTCATGTGATTGGTGCGTTTCAGGTCATTCACTGATTGGTAGTTTGTGGTTTAACTTTGTTTAGTTTAACTTTGTCCATGATATATGATATAAGCATACAATAAACAATGGATATCCAATAGTTCATCAAAAGAAAATCAATAAAACTAAGCTGTGATGTTAACAATTAGTTTGCTTAGAATATAATCATAAAAAATGTACTCAAATCAATGAAAATGATAATTATTGATCAGTGTTCACTGTATGTAAACTAATGTCCAACAGAATTTTGTTTAGGTCAATCATTTGTGCACTATAGACACCACCACCCACAACAACAACAACAACAAAACATACATAAAAGTGATGAGTACTAATAAAATATGAAGCGCTAATATCTTGAAAAGAAGCAGAATACTGCTCAGCATTTTCTATGCATGTAATCTATGTAATCTTCCAATGAAATGTAAGATGTAAAGCTTTTGTTCATTTATTGATTTCAGTGAGCGAACCATTGGGAAACCAACCAAGGGGTACTTGACAGATGTGTTTTGGTCCTCATTTGGAACTCCTCGTCAGTAGAACCAAGATGCACCTCATCAAGACGCGTTGAACCTAGGACCTTCAGATTACAAATTGATCTCATTGACTGCATTCAGTCAATTTGATAGAATCTCATGGAGCATCACAGTTCTAAAGTCTGTCACATTCGAGATATATAGAGTGACTGCCAGTGAGTATCTGTTCTCACTCCTAACTACGTGGACCATTAGTCAGTCAATGGGTAAGAAGCCATTCTACATTAGCTTGATTATAAAGGTGAAAACATCGCGGCGATGATCAATACAAGGTTGAGTACATCAATAGCCAGTGCCTATCCTACAGCTAAGCTTGTTCCTGTCTATCGAACAACTCACTCTTTGGTGCAATCAAAAATCGATAGATATCCTTCTCATGTTAATAACTGTAACTGTATATACAAATTTACATGTATCTGTGGGAGCAGTTACATTGGAAGGACAGAAAGAAGAAGGGCACATCTCCGATTTTCTGAACATGTACCAAAACGCTTACGTCTAAAGGGAACAAATGCTTTAAACAGTGCAATCACCAGGAATCTCCTTGACACGCGTCATGAGGTGGACATCGAAAAGTCGTTCAAAATTATTGATAGGCAAAAGAGCTCAATTCTTCTCAAGTTTGCTGAAGCCATTTCCATCAAGGGCCTGAAACCTGATTTATGCTTCCAGAAAGAAGCGGTTATCAGTCTTTCTTTGCCCTGGTAATTGGATATTATCACGTCTCTTTCATCTGAATGTGAAATCCTGAAAAGTTTCTATTGTGTATGTTTATTATTGTTCGGAATAGTATTTAATATTACATATGTATATATATATATTATCGCTGTATACATATATTACTCGACGGATTTTTGTTTAAAATGAACTCTGTACAAGTATGTTAAAATTGTTTTTGTAGACATATTTATTAATTTCTTCGGCCTGTAAGTAGCTGACGAGAAGGCAACGAAATAAAAGATGGTATCATTTTATTCTGCTAAAACTGTAGTTCTTGCTTTGTTCAAATATGTGTGAAACCTGGGCATTATGGTAGTATGCGATTCCATATTAAACTGTTGATTAGATATATCACACAGTCAGTGAAACAGAATCACTTACTAGATGACGAGGTTCCAAACACAAGCTATCATTGTTCATAATTATATCAATTATAATCACATGACTTCGAAACTTGAGTTTCATAGTTTTCTTTGTTCTCTCCTATTTGTCATCGTTGGGGTAGTAGAATTTTCCAGATATTCGGATGGACAGGTGTTTAATCTTTCCTATTCCACGTATTCTCTCACAGTTGTTTCGATAAATGAAGCTTCTGTTATCAATCTCTCCCTCCACCCTGCTGTTACATTAGATTTTAAGGCAGTCATCTTGTCCTATCGCATCCTTTTGTATAGCTGTGTGTAATTGCATGCAGTATGTGTTATAGTTGAATTGTTCTCCAGATTTCTCATCATATTCGGGTCAACTAAGAGAGATTTTGCTAACTTTTTCCAATACCCTACCTTTTTGGTGACATGGCTCAAAATCGTTCTCAGTGGCGCAGATGCATCCACTCCTTGTGACTTATGATCTCCAATGAAACTGTTTTGTTTTTCTTTATTACTCCTTTGTCTCACACCTCTGCTCACTGTTTCTATTATGCTTTTCTTGTACTTTCTTCTCTTACTTGCTTCGCGTGCTACACGGAGTGTGGTGACTTGAACTTCCGCACATTTGTGCAAAGTTCTATGTCGAAAACAGACAGAGACAGACCGACATACCCTACCTGCAATGACTGCCGAGTCAAATATGTAGTTCAGTTTAGTACAGCCTAGTCGGTCAGACTAGCAAAGCACA